GGGTGAATGAGTTAAAGGGGATGACAGGCAGGGTAAGTCGCATTATATCTCATGTTGTCCCCAAAACAACAATACAGGCAGACAATGACACTGCTGCCCCGGTACAAGATGAAAAGAAATGAATACCTCAGAAATACCTTTTTACGTGTCACCGAGACGGGTGTACACCTGGGTTTTTTTTACCATTAAACTATTAGTGGTCGTCGTCATCCTGTCTTTTATTTTCACAATGGCAAGTAATTATACTACTTTATTAAATGTCATTAGATAGCAGTAATTAGTAGCTCTGACAGTTAACATCACTGAACAGAGAGGGGCCCACTGCAGGAGTAATCTACTGACATAGACTTTTATCAGCAGAGGGTACGCTACGGAGAGTCACTTGTCACCGGAATTTTACCAGAGAGGGGGCAACTTATAAAGTGACATGATGATGGGAAATTTATTAGTGAAAAGGGTTTGCTACAGAGTGGCATCTGTGACAGACTCTTTAGGAATAGGGGTACGCTTCTCAGAGTGACTTTTGTGACAGGGATTTCATCAGGGAAATAGCAACACTACAGAGTGACCTTTATGACAAGGATTTTACTATAAAGAGGGGCATGCAACAAGGTGTCATAAACGCCGACTGAACACTGACTTCCATCAGTGAGATGAAACCTGTAAGGGCGGATTCATGTAGGCGCGAAACCGTCATCCATCCAAGGTGTCATCATTATGTTATGGGAATTTGATCAGGGAGTCTGAAAGGGGGCGATGCATCTAGTGGCAAATTTGCAGGGGATTTGATCAGTGCAACACCAGTGTTATTACTGGCGACACCATCACCATCAAACTATATGTGACCAATTCATAAAGAATTTGAAAATTTTGCAACGTTTTACAAATGTATTCACAAGACATAAGTATTGAGTTATCTTTTGTTTATGCATCTAATGAATTAAGTAATAATACTTTTATCAAAATAAAGAGCCATTGCACAAGAAAACACAGTTACCCAGTTTCGGTTCGGATAAGCACACATAGTTATCCGAGTGGCATTTTTTCTAACCGTTGCAGCCCTAGCCATGAGAAAAACAATACACATCAAAGTGGATTCCAGGATATCTGAGACTGCTCTGTCAATCGATGCAAACTAATGTTAACACGGGACCAATGTTGATCTGCCCGGATCTTTGATACTGTAAGCTAAATACACAAGTTAACACATCTGTCACTGGCTCATGATCATCAATAATGTAACGAGACAGTGCTTAAATATCACCGTAAAAACCTGCCAGTACACAATTTTCCAATTCATTGATTTTTTATGCAGGAATATTAACCATGACAGAAAATGAAACCCATTACTTCGTATTTATATATATATATGTGAACTTTTTTGCAAGTACTTTTATGCCATCGCATTAGAATACAGCAATTAGGAGGAATCTGGAGCAAGAGATGAATTTCTGATGGTAAAAGTCAGAATTTCAATTTTGCACTACTGTCATGCACATACTGTTTCAATAAAGGTTGTTGTGATCAATATTTTGGTTGACTTTTCACTCTACAACCAAATGGAAGCAAGAACAGCTAAAACCATTTCTACAGAAAAAAATGAATGTTTCATTGATATTGCATTTCACACTTAGACATCAACATTACAACATGTATGTAAACCTGCTCCAGGCACTGAATCAATGGAAATATTCTCCCAGAATTTTTATCTTTACAACATTTCTGAGCCCTAATGGGAATCTAAATATATATACTAGTGTACAGCCCTCAAGCATTACGAGCTGAAGCCGAAGCCATAAAATGTGTTTGTGATCACCAAACCTCACTTCCTGTTCCAAACATTACATTACATAATCTTCTTACGCTTTACACAGATTTTGCTACAAACATTTGATGACCAGCAGACTTTAAGAAATTCTATATATACCGTCTTTACCCCCCCCCCCCCAAAAAAAATATTTTTCCACAACATTATGCAATCAGGCAGACATCATCCATGTTACATGTATATAAATAGCAGGATTTTGTTTTGCATTTATAAAACCTCATACCACCTTTAACCAAAAAAGTCTCCAGGAGGTATATAACCATATTATTCAACACCTATCTTAGTATCTTTAGGGACGGGGTTCAGGGAATACGGATCAGCTGGACAAAAGTTGAAAAATAAACATATTTTACAACGGACAAGGATCTGGTGAATACATATGAACACAATCTGACCTGATTTGCGTGTCAGAGTTCAATATAGATTTACAAAAACTAATTACCAGACATTTCATTTCTGTCTACAAACTTAAACTGGTAAGAAAAAAAAAGTAAAAAATTTGAAACCGACATACCATTAGCTGAAAAATGCACTCTAAGTCATCTCAGATGATCACTTGAATTTTAAGACACTCCATTCAATGTTTTACTGAGCTATTACATCCTGTGGCTGCTCTCAAACACAACTGTGTGGCAGCTGATGTGCACACTTATACAGTCAACAGGCATTTCACACGTTGTCAAGTGAGAGAGGAACTTAAACATTTTGAAGACTTCCTTAGTCTTTATCATTATGATGTTTTCATTTCAGAAATTTAATACACAGAGCTTCCTTTTCAACTTAAATGTAAGACTGTTGCTGTCTGTGTAAAAGATGATTGGAACATTCGTTCAAGATCGGCATTTCTTGGCAAGGCCTATTAGCGCTGCACATTTGAAAATGATGGTAGCCATGTAGATTTACCACCTAACATGATTTGTGTGTGGTCATACAAAGCTGCCAGCTACAGCCAGACAGACTCCTGGGAGACATTACAGCATTATAGCTGGAGAGATATCCTATCTTCTGGTCAGTGATTACAATAACTATGTTACTGGTGGTGTGACGTTAGGGGAATTAGGATCAGGAACTAAGATGATTGCCGACAGAGATATACTAAACTGTTATTAGGATAAACCTGTATATCGTCAGTGATTGTGATTACAGAATCAATCATAGGATCTTTTAATTTTGGTATGGTAGATTTTCACAAAGCCTTAATTAGTATTGACTCATAATTATCATGACTGACATCTGAACAAAATTTCATAATAAAATATATTTACTTCAAACAGCAAATATTTGTATGATACATACTATGTATGATAATTCTCATAATTTGCCAAATTCGAAACACTGGGTACATTAGTTCAATTTTTTAAATTCATACTTCGATCTTCAAGATTATAAAATATTTGAATAGTATGCTTAACTAGTCTAGTTTAATATAAATTTATAACCTTTTAGTATAGATACCCTTTGATTGTAGAAAACAATGAGGTCATAGTTCACAGGCATTCAGGTCAAGTTTTCCCTTGCTATCACATGTTATGGTAGGCTATGGAGGGGGCTCAGGTATAATGCTCCAAAAACCGGTAGCTGGTCATGGACAGGTGGCACAAGACAGGAAGCTGTTCAACAATAGCCAGTGGTCACTACTACTGTACTGTATATCACAGCTAACTTCCTTGACCACCTGCTGGCAGCCCAGCAGGGTATCACACCTGACCCACCCTCCCAGCAGAGATCTGAAATCACACCTTTCAGTCTGTCAACATCTAACAGCCTTATAGGATTCTGTCAACAACATATCAGGGTTAAAACAAATTAAGGCATATCAAAGCCTGTAAATAATTGTTTCTCACAGTTGTTCTCAACTTCAAAAAAAAAAAAAATGTTTTTAGACATTCTTGTTATATAAAGCAATTATTTGAAATTAAGAAATGTAAGTGTTCTATAAAATAACATTCTCTCATTTTTATTTTAGATTTGAGTTTCCTTGATTAAGTTTTTTAAGTAAAATATTAGAATTTCATTGCAAATTAGCCAAAATATAAATATACTGGAGAGGAAAGTCTGGAATGTTGAATAATAACATGATAGACATCAACTGAAAAATCCAGGAGAAAAATTGTCATTCAGTCAGGTGCCTCATGATAGGCATACTGTGTAATGGCATAGTTTTGAATAGACTGGCAAACTTGTGACATCTGGGTCAAATTATTGTTTACATATATTATACTGATTTAGTTGGTTTGACACACTGGTTTTATTGAAGAATAGCATTGATTTTGTATTATCAGTAAATGATGGCATGCCACTATGACTTTGTATGCATGTTCAGGGCTTTTTGTTGCAATCCAGAACAAATAGTTGTAAAATATTGCAGGTTCTTTCAGTTCCGATTTTGAAACAGACTCTGGAGTTATATTATAAATAACATGTTACACAGTGCTATATATAATACAGTTTTGCTTCCACTCCACAACCTGTCATCAGTGAAATAATGCCCAATGCAACACAATCGTAATAATGTTAACTCTTTCGTTACATCTCCCGGTTTTTTCTCTCTCACACTCTCCTATATTACAACTGTCCCCGTCATGTGTAATGGTACCCCACCCCCTTTCCCCTCTGGGAGGGACCGGTGTGTGTATTGGAAGCCAGCAGCAATGAACTGTTGATACTGTAATGGATTGTGGCAGACAGGAAATGAGCCCACGTGTCTATTCGTAACATATTGAAAGCTATCCACATTTCCCAAACAACTATCACATTCACATTCCCATCGTGACTCCGTTTACAGGGTGCGAGATATCCTACTCCCTGACGCCGCCATGATTTTACCAATCAAATATGGCCGACATAGCACAGGTGAAAATCGTAAACAAAGCTGTAGAAATCCAGGTCAAGCAACACCTTTGCAAATTCCCACATTTTCACAAACTAGAAGAGCACATGATGAAAACCCACACAACAAAGACAAGCTGGTTCCGTGTCTTACTTTCTGTTAGATGTTTAAGATGACTGAAGGTTTAAAAACTCCGGTCCAATAATCCTGCATATTGGTCGTCGCCACAAACTTGTCCAACGCCGTTTGACAAGTTGAATTGCGGGTTTGAACCACTTGTAATCCAGTATTTGAATTTAAGCAACAATATTGAAATTGTCCATGTGTTTCTCAAGCACTTACCTACTTCCGCATGGTGCTGATTAAACAGGTTAATTGCCGTCCGTTGACTTCAAACAATGACCAATAAAGCGATACCTACACAAGCCGCTGGAGGCCCATTGAAATGTCGATCAAGGTATTTTCATTGGCTGTTCCAATTACATTCCGTACTCCTGCGTTTAAATTTTCGATTATTCTCTATAAGTAATGCTAATTAGAATCTTCACTTGATTAACAAACGGTGATGGCATTCAGACATTATAAGTTAAGTTTGTAAATTGGTTCTATTCAATAAATAGGGATTTTTGAAACAAAAGGTAAATTTTCAAAATGTCAATCAATGGAAGGTAGATAACTCGTACTACCAACAAAAAGTGCTCTTCAGCAAATGACCAGAAGCACATATCTATAAATTTACATTTTGCATAATTTTCAATAGGTTTTTTTGACTTGTACCACGAACTTAGATAATCTAATTCCGTGCTTGTACGTTTATTTTTTGTAAATTCTAATTACACATTCTTTGCTGGGAACATTCCATTTAGTTTTAATTAATGAGCCAATTAAGTCTTTAAAAGGGGCTGGTCGGGAAAAAAATACAAAATAAATGGGTCTAAATGCGTTCTTTGACCTTCCAAAAGTTATACAACGGCAATATGATGGTCGAGATCTGCTAGAAATGTCCAGTTTTGACCACTGAAATCTCGGGGAAGCCCCGCGTAAATTTAGCGCAGATCTATTTATATATGTCACGTGGTTGTTTCGAAAGTGAAGCAGTGAAGATAACAACAATAGCACGCAGTCATGTGCCATGTCGGACTCAACAGCAATACTATACGTAAATAATTGTTTTCAAAGGTCATGTATGATGCAAGTGTAGTATTCCTACCTATATGTTGTTGTTATATATAACGGTATTGATACCTCGTGCCTGTCATGACTTTTACATGCATCTTTTTCTTTCGCCGCGATGTTTACATTTAACCTTGTTAATCACTAATCTGGGTCAATTGAGAGTTTTAGACTGTCAGGTGACGATTTAGGATTTCTTTAATATAATTATAATTTTTACTCTTAGGGAGTGAATTTCAGCAAAATTTGAATCGGTATATATCATAAGAAGGTATTTTAAACATGTGTATGCCATTTTAGCAAATATGACATTTTTTCCCCGATCAGCCCTTTAAGGTAAATGGTTACCACTGTATCAGCTTTTCTTATAATAACGAAGTAACGAACGAGAGTTCCGCTCATCAGAGTAACGTTAGCGCAAAAAAAATGAAAAAAAGGTAGAGTACCATGGAATCCAATGAGGAGAAGTAATGTTAAAGACTTATGGTATAAAAGTATATTTGATGAAAAATATTAGAGTTTAGGAGGCACGGTAGTCAGTCTAGTGGGAGGACGACGGGCTCGTGACCGAAGGGTGGCGGGTTCAAGTCACGGCACGGCACTGTGTACTGAGTATCTTTGAGGAAGATACTTTACTCCGCTTGTTCCAGTCTACTCAGCTGTAAATTAATACGTGTTGGGTAGTGCTAGAATTGTAGAATGCTAGCTGTGAGCGCCGAAATGGCAGCACCGGCTGTATGCTCCCCAGGGAGCTGAGAAAGATATTGACTGGTTGCAAATGTTAACCGCTTTGAGACGACCTACGAACTAGGTTGTGATAAAACGGTATATAAAGGACCTTGGATTATCATTATAATAATTTTGTTGTATTTCTGTAGTGTCTGGGTTAATTGATTGATTGATTGATTGAAGTCACGTATTCGCAACAGCTGTGGCCCTAAAATGACTTCTTTTTAAAGATTTATTTATAATCAATGTGAATCCAGATAAATCGTTTTTTCTCCTCAAAACAACACAGAAACATTGATTTTAGTATGCTTCTTTAATATATATGTAAAGAGTTGGATTTCGGGATGGAAGGTCAAATCTAAATCAATTCGTCCTACCCAGGGATGTATAAAGTAGTAGATTTCTATAGAGTCTCTGTCCTAAGACGTGATATGTATATCATTTGATCAACAATAACAATGAGTATTTTCTAAGAATAGAACAAAGAATATATCTCTGTGCCACAGACTGAGTGTAAAAGAATGTCGAACGCTTTAAAGGTGTATATATATTAAAATTAAAAGGAAATATAAAGGCGTAAGGAAGAAATCGAAAGCCGATTTTGTCAATTTTTACTGAGTCATAACAGGAACATATGAAGCCATATATATGTTGTATATATACATCTCTGGATATACTCAACTGCAAAATTCACTCTTAATATTAAACTAACCGGATATCTGTGACATTTGCTTCACTTAAAAGGATAGTTAAACCCGAGTATACTCATTGTTTTGATATTTATTTATTTGATATGTTACAATAAAACTTAAAAATAAATACAGCAACATGTATGAACAAAAACATCTCATTTCATCAAACTGAACCCATGATAAACTAACTGTTTATATACACGACAGAAATAAAATACATGACATTTTCCCGTTGTTAAGGCAGGAGGGAACAGGTATCTGGTTGTGTGATGCGATAGGCATGCCCATGTTTTTACCTGAACATATTTGTCGAGGTGTTTACAGAGCTCAGCGAGAATAGTATTTCTGATCAAACAAAGCACTTTTTGATATCACCCTGTTAAACAGTTTTAAGTAATTTAAAAGCATGTTTTTGAATGGAAGAAATCAATGTTTTACACTATAAAGCTCCAAGTTCAAGATACATTTAAAAAAAAACCTCCAAAATAAATTCACCTATCGGACATACTGACAAATTTTACATTTCAGTAACATGAATCATGATATTGAAGATAACATTTAAATAATTATGAATTGAGAATCTTTGTGAGAAAATTTGCTGCCCTTTCAACAATAGTGCCGATAGCTTTCAAATCATAAACACATAGTCAGTTAACGATGAAAATATTGATAACAAATCATAAATCATACGGTTCAGTTTGGGGTGGGGGGTGGAGGGGGGGCAATATGGAGGTCGATGTATACTTTAAAATCTTCAGTAAGTGAATAATGGCAACAAACTAGGTAATTTTGAGGCCACTTGGTAGTGCGTCGGCCTGTTGATCGAAGGTCGGAGAATCGGACCCCGCAGTCATTGATTCAGCGAGATATCGGGTTGTGACCTTGATTAAGAATAAGTGGCATACCAAATCACCTTTAAAAAAGTATATATATGATTATAGCTGACCTGTGTTGAAAAAGACAGTACTCAAAGGTGCTCTTCGCATCTTTGGAAGGGTGGGGGTAGCGGAGGAAATTTCCCCTTGGTGTAAGAGGGTGGGGGAGAAGCCTCCCTATAGTTTTTGTTTTTTTTAAATATGCTATTCTATTTTTAACTGTTACTGTAACTAGCGTCCCCCAAAAATTTCCATTAAGTCGCAAATGATGTGTCAGACTCACAAAAGATGGCGCTGGAATACTTAATAAAACTCATCTTATGAACGTAAAAATGTAAACCAATCAGAAGGCTTGGCGGCCATATTTGTTTTCCGATTCAATCAAAAAAATTGACGCTTCGAATGTCGATCTATGCTAGTGAGAATTCCTCTGAAGTTTCCCGAACATCAGACTAGCAGTCTTGAGCTCGAGAGAAACCGCGGAAAACTCAGGATGAATATGAAACGCGAACGAAACAGTATCCCGTACACTAATATCTTGTCTAGGGGAGATAATTAAACTAACAGAAGAACCTACATCAATAATAGCTGGCTTCACTTGACGTTGGACCACTCCTTAAAAATTGTTTTTATAAAAGTACCTTTTTTTTTTTTAAAGATTTGTCTTCAAGCCTTCACCCGTTTACAGACGTAAGAAATTTAGCTCCCAGACAAAGTTGTTGAAGTTCCTTTAGTATTTTATTTCATTTTAAATTACATATTGGTTAATGGATAACCATACGATGTCTTTGACCTTACCACCATGAAACACACAATCATACGAGTTTTCTCATACTTTACAAATACATATTTACGAATTTTGATAAATGAAAATGAAATGAAATAGCTAAACGGTTGATTTTTTTTATAAATAGTAACAGCAAGTGACCTTGACCTCCATCTTGGTACCCTGAAATACAAATCAATTTGAGGAATTCTAATACTTGGCTTAAATGCCATAATTATCCGAAAATAAAAACATAATTAAGGAAACCTCCCCCGAGTACACAATTCAGGAAACCTCCCCTGAGTACATAATTAAGGAAACCTCCCATGAGTACAGCATCGTTTATGCTTATTTTTAACGTATGCTAAAGAAAAGAAGCATCATGTATGCAACACTATGAATAATATTGCATATATTTTGGTACTTTCAGAAACGTATACTTACTTATCGCAAATCAACACAAGTCTCCCCGCGTGACGTTAAAGATTATAAATGTGATACTACCTTGTTATGGCCAAACCAACAGCACCTCCATCGTGTGATAATTAACGAAATTGTTTCTGCATATTTTTTTTTCATTTATATAGTTATATATATATATATCGACCTGTCACAGGTTTTTGTTAAGTAATTGCATAAACCTATCAAACTTGTAGATGAGTACGTTATAATACATGTATTACAATGCTGAATCTGAATTTGATGTGAAAAGATGATAATTTATTCTCAATTTGTTTTTTAAGAAATGAAGACATAAAAACTATAAATAGTAACGATGACCTTGACCTTGATATTGCCACCCTGAAACACAAGCGGATACGAGGTTTTCTCATACTTTACCAAGACACGAATTTTAATCTTTTCAGAAATGAAATCGCTAAAGCGATGACAAATATTCTATAAATATTAACGGTGACCTTGACCCCCATCTTGGTACCCTGAACAAAAGGTCGTTCGAGGAATTCTCAAACTTGGCAGGCATATGAAGATTTATTGAATCCGAACAAGAATGAAATCGCTAGAGAGATGACAATAAATAAATAATAAGAATCAAAATATTCGTGATAATATATCTATAGTAACAGCGACCTTGAACCTGTCACCCTGAAAAAACGAAGTTCTTCGAGATATTTTAATTGTTACTTGACCAATATATGAAATTTCAGTGATCAAGATCCTTTCAGAAATGAAGCTGCTAGAGTGATTACAAAATGTGATCATACCTACGAATGGAGCACTATATCCCCTCCTCGACTTCGTCGCGAGGGGATACACAGATTAAAGATTAGTACATCGTAACATAACCGTCACAAAACAGTGTGTGTTAGGAACGACAACTCTGTAAGGAGTAACTAGTAAAGAGACTTGTAGCAAGGGCGACTACTCTGTTGTTACTGTAGCATATTGTCTCCGTTTTTGTTATTATAAGAAACTGGTCGAACAGTATAACACTAGCTGACAAGGTTATTTTCGTGTTGAAAACATACAGTAACGTTCGGCACTCTAGATCCTCTTTGTGTTGAGTGTACAAGTTTTACAAAATGTGTGTATAGGTAAAATTGTTGTAGGGAAACAGGATTCTTTGTTTCTCCGAGAGCTATCACAATTCACGAGGGTGAAGTGTGTGGCTCGATACAAGTTTCTTTTAGACCCAATATTTTTCCGTATTAGGTCACTAACAAACTGTGTAACGAATTTATCCCGTCGAAGGCCCTTTGGATAAAAAAAACTGCAAAATAATACAAAATTCAACATTTATTCCAACAATAACAATTTTAACTTTCACCCGCTTTGTTAACATTTCATCGGCTGTCGTCTGCACAAACCGCTTGGTCGCCATCTTGTTACAAGTTGGCTCTTATGTGAGATTCTACTGACCTAATATGAAAATATACTGGATATCATGTGACGTCGTTTTAACCAATAGGACTACAGGATTTTTGCCTGAGGCGGGATAATAAAAATGATCAGGTAGAAGCGCCATTGTTGTCGTCTGCTTCAGTCATTTTTTAAAGAGAGGCTTCAACTAAGGAAAATACGATTAGGGGAACTCAAACGTATGAGAACGACATCATGTGATCAAACATGATCCAATCAGAAATGCTGTTATAAAGATGAGGTAGAATAATATGTTTATGAAGGATTATAATACGGTCATGTCATGTACCTCGTCGTTCAGTGTTGAAATTGAAAATGCGCCATAATCGCCACCACCTGTTCAAAATCCGTGTCGTTTTTAGTGTGTAAAACATATTTGCATTTCTCAATTCAAAGGCTTATGAAAATATCCGAATAAGACTGAAGACAAAATGCTCTTGCATGCCTTTACTTGGAGCTTAACTTCATTTCTATTCAAGATGGGTAACTCGGTTGTGACACCACAGTCTGTCCAACCCCAAGTAGTGCTGTAGATGTTAAATACAATTTTACAATCCACTTTCCTCAGGAGATGTTTGAATTTGACCATTGACAGTTTAGCCTGTATTATTCGGTTATTCACTTTCGCTTCTCGCACCCCGGAACATATGTATGTCATAGCAAAATCGAAGGCACGCGGCTAACTATTTGGTTGGTAAAATAACCTGACCAATGGCTAGGCTGATATCCTGTCCACTTGATGTTTACAGAGGAGCGACACCCGACTTCAAAGCCAGTCCATGTTACCGTTAGCGACAGACAGATTCTTTTGATAAACGTCAAAGGATCAAACTAGTCTTCTTGTCTCATCCACAAGGTGGTGCAAACTGAGCCTTCGAGTTTGTTATGACAAATTCCAGGGGTGCAGAGAGAGCAAAAGTAACCAATGGAGTATCGAGGATGCAGGATTTATAACATTGGCATGTCATTATTTCTTTTTACGTGAATTGATGTCTTTCATACACATGTATGTACTGTAAAGTGGGTTATATTTTAAGGCTATAGCTGGCGGCAAAATATATACATAAGCGAACTACCTCTGTCATCAAGAATCAGAGCTATATCTCTCCTTAGTGTATAAGGAACGAATCAAGAATCAGTTCAAAGCCATATCTGTCTTGATTGAAGAAGGAAAGATATTTTTCACCATACTTTCACAAAGGATGACAACGTACTTGACTTTCAATGAATACATTGATTATTGTGTACAGACATGCGATCACAAGATCCCCTGATGCATTGAATGCAACAGCACAATCTTTGTGAAATCCATCATTTATCCGCAAATTTAAACGTAGAAATGTGCATCTTTTCATTAAAACCATTAATAGATTCTGATTGATAAAACTGCGGCTTAACGTTTATATGTACGAACAATAACACACCTACAGCAATACCACACCTACATCAATACCACACCATACCACACCTACAGCAATACCACACCTACAACAATAACACACCTACAGCAATAACACACATACATTAATAACACACCTACAGCAATACCACACCTACAGCAATAACACACCTAAAACAATAACACACCTACAACAAAACCACGCCAACAACAATAACACCCCTACAGCAATACCACACCTACATCAATACCACACTACATCAACACCACACTACATCAATACCACACTACATCAACACCACACTACATCAATACCACACTACATCAATCCCACACTACATCAATACCACACTACATCAATCCCACACTACATCAATACCACACTACATCAATACCACACCTACATCAATACCACACAATCCCCCACCTACAGCAATCCCACACCTACAACAATAACACACCTACATCAATAACACACCTATTGCTACATTTATGGCAATAGAATATGTGTATAATACAGTTTATTGAGGTCAACCTTATCCTCAACCTCGATATCCAGGGGTTACGCTCACTTTCGCTCTCTGCACCCCTGGAATGAGTCATAGCAAAATTGAAGGCACGAAGATAGCCGTTTGATTGGTCTCGGGTAAAAAAAACCTGACCAATCGCTAGGCTGATATATGTCCTTTGAAGATTACAAAGGAGAGACGCCCGACTTCAAAGCCTGTCAATTTTTACCATTACGCGACCTTAAGATTCTTTTGATGTACATCAAAGGATCGAACTAGTCTTCTTGCCTCATCAACAAGGTGGCGCACACCGAGCCTTCATGCAGTTTTGTTATGACATATTCCAGGGGTGTAGAGAGTGAATGTGAGCGTAACCCCTGGATATCGAGGATCCTTATCCTAAACCTAATACAAATTGATAACTGCCATGCATTTATAAAATCCACGCACTCCTTTCTCCTTCAAAAATGTTGACCTCAATCGTGTAGGTTCGTACGAAACATATTTTGAAATTAAAACCTATACGTTTCCATTATTATTAAATCATTAAGAAAGTCTTCATTAAATAAAAAAACACACAACACTTTTCAGAAAATTGTGTTCTTTTAAATATAAGCTTTATTTATTTTACAATAAGTATGCAACAAGTTATTTCAATTGAATTAATCGCTTTTGTTGGCCTTTGATGTAAGCGCGTTGATCAGTGAGAGGAAACCGGAGTATCGGGAAAAACCCCACGTGTTCTTTCATTTCAATTAACATTTCAAATTAAAAACCACTGTTCTATAGAAAGTCTGTTTGACTGATTTCACCCTGTTCAACATCCGGATCTATGAGTGTCACAGCCTCTGTACCACAAACCGTCAATCTTCTCGTAAGTCATTTGTTCACAGGCTGGATCAACAGGCCAACAGACAGTTTGACGCTTCAAACCCGTGTACCCGGCGGGGACAGCCCCGTATACTGAAAAGTATGACGGAAAAAACACAATCAGAAAACGACCATACCGAAGTGTTAACAAAACCATAATTCGCACCTAAAAATCCAAGAAACTAGGGCAACATATGAACAAAGGAAAGGAGACCCATGAAAAAGTACAAGTCAATTTAGACCAGGTGTTCCGGAAGGGTGAGCGTCTTCTGCTTCATAGATGACACCCGCCATGTAAATCTAAGTCGAATCCAAGTAATGTCAATACATTCTCTTCAATTGACATATATTTTCCAAAATCGTTTCTATATGTGCCTGTTGGTCGGTGTGGAATCCATTTATAGACCTTCAACATTGCCCTATACACCATTGTGAAAATAATTGAAACATGTCATATACTTAAACGTTTAAATACGAACCCGTTTGTCCAGAAGGACAACACACTGCCCACCTGTCGACCTGATGAGTAAAGCAGGAGTACCCATTTGGACATGACGTTGAGGAGTAGCCTCCACACGACACTTGCTCTCCATTCTCGTTAGTAAAGGGGGATCCATCGGTGCAGCAAGCCGTGTCACTTCTGGTGGAACATGGTTCTGAAAATATTTACAACTTTCAGAACTGATATATTTACATTTGCACTGCATCCTTCCATTGCCATGCATTGAGCAGGCAAATGTTGTTGGGAGACTATAACAACGTTTGCCATTGTAACGTCATCAATTTCATAGTTGTCAGGACTTAATTTGCTGTTCAAAGAACTGTTCGAAATAACTAAATAAAACGTAACCCCTCAATCAAAATGTAAATAAAAATAATGAATATTTTAGCAAATATTGTTATGGTCCTATAACACACATTTCTATTACTGACAAACTTACATCGGGCTTTATTAAGTTTGTCATTAATAACCATGTGTGTTATTGGACCATAACAACATTTGCTTAAACATTCATTGCTTAAGTGTATTCAAGGTCATGGTGCATTTGTTCTGGACTTTATATATAAGATCATATTGTTGTATTATAAATAAGCACTGGGATTCAATATTTTTTAATTTGTTTTGATGCTTTATATGAATTTGTTTGCTAATGTCCATGCGTTTTTTCTCGGGTTTTTTGGGGAGATAATATTTTTAATCTTATATTTCCAGACAGACAATCATTAATGCATTCGTGGAATATATTCCGTCTTTGCGTATTGCAGAGTTATCTTCTCCTGGGAGCAGGTATTGATTGTTCCGTCATTGGTTTGTGCGAGAAAATTACGTCGTTTTATCAAAAATTGATGACGTTATTCTCACAAACAAGTGACGTAACAATCAATCCCTGCTCCCAAGAGAAGATAACTCTGCAATACGCAAAGACGGAATAAGGCCTCATAGACTGGCCACCGTCTCTAGAATATTGAATTATTAAGAAAAAAGTTTAACTCAAAAAATGTTGATCACTTGGATGTCTGATTCTAGAGTTCCAAACTAGGGGGAGATAAATTAGTAGTAAAATGCAGCTGAGAAATTCTTCATAAAAACTTGGGGCAGGTAGCCAGTCTAAGGGCCTCAGAGCACAATAAATAAAAATAATATTATAGATTTATGGAATGTTTCAAGTTGCTAGGTGTTTAGATATGTACTAATTTTCATTCGTTGCATGTACTAGTTCTCTCCATCTGAAATTCAGTAACTTTCAGGTCAGAGGTAGAAAAATCAAACAAAGACATGAAAATGCATATTCTACAGATGACATATACATTTGATAATCGCTTTTATGTGCTTTTGGTCGATGTCGAATATATTTACAACCGTTTAAACAAAAAAAATAGTACTACAAAGGGTAGAACATCTCTAAAACTTATTAGCGTGTCCATTTTGAGAAACTTGCCATGAAAACGCCGTGCCAACATTCCATTTGTCAAGATGAGTACACTCTGTCCACTTTTTAGAAAGTATAACCATGCCAATCTGTCGGGAACACAACGAGTTACTTTTCTATGACAATTAATTTCCCACTTACATGGGAAGATAACACTAGGAACTCTTGTCCAGAAGAAAAGACATTGCCCACCAGTCAGGTAGGGCAATACGCTTTCATTAGTTAATTATTTAATCATTTCAATCTCCTCACAACCTTTTCAAGATTTCACATTCATTCATAAGATCAAACAAACGTTGTGCAGCGTTTATCTGCAAGCCTTGTTTTCGTGGTAGGTTTGGAAACAACACACAGCACAGAAAACGACTTTAGTGATAGGATTGGAAACAACACACTACAGAAAACGACTTAATTGGTAGGTTATAAACAACAAATTGTACAGAAAACGACTTAAGTGGTAGGTTATAAACAACACACTGTACAGAAAATGACTTTAGTGGTAGGTTTGGGAACAACACACTGTACAGAAAATGACTTTAGTGATAGGTTATAAACAACACACTGTACAGAAAACGACTTAAGTGGTAGGTTTGGGAACAACAAACTACAGAAAACTACTTAAGTGGTAGGTTATAAACAACACACTTGACAGAAAACGACTTAAGTGGTAGGTTATAAACAACACACTGTACAGAAAATGACTTTAGTGATAGGTTTGGGAACAACACACTACGGAAAACGACTTTAGTGATAGGTTTTAAACAACACACTGTACAGAAAATGACTTTAGTGATAGGTTATAAACAACACACTTGACAGAAAACGACTTAAGTGGTAGGTCATAAACAACACACTTGACAGAAAACGACTTAAGGGGTAGGTTATAAACAACACAATGTACAGAAAACGACTTTAGGGATAGGTTATAAACAACACACTGTACAGAAAACGACTTTAGTGGTAGGTTTGGGAACAACACACTGTACTAAAAACGACTTTAGTAGTTGGTTTGGGAACAACACACTACAGAAAACGACTTTAGTGATAGGTTATAAACAACACACTGTACAGAAAATGACTTTAGTGATAGGTTTGGGAACAACACACTACAGAAAACGACTTTAGTGATAGGTTATAAACAACACACTGTACAGAAAACGACTTAAGTGGTAGGTTATAAACAACACACTGTACAGAAAACGACTTTAGTGGTAGGTTTGGGAACAACACACTGTACAGAAAACGACTTAAGTGGTAGGTGTGAAAACAACACACTGTACAGAAAACGACTTTAGTAGTTGGTTATAAACAACACTCTTGACAGAAAACGACTTAAGTGGTAGGTTATAAACAACACACTGTACAGAAAACGACTTTAGTAGTAGGTTTGGATACAAAACTCTGTACAGAAAACGACTTTAGTAGTTGGTTATAAACAACACTCTTGACAGAAAACGACTTAAGTGGTAGGCTATAAACAACACACTGTACAGAAAATGACTTCAGTGGTAGGTTATCAACAACACACTGTACAGAAAATGACTTTAGTGGTAGGTTATAAACAACACACTGTACAGAAAACTACTTTAGTGGTAAGTAATGAACAACACAATGTACAGAAAACGACTTCAGTGGTAGGTTATAAACAACACACTGTACAGAAAACGACTTGTAGATTTTCAAATATAATTTTATATTGTAACATTAAAGAGTACCTGGTGTTACTATCTTGGCAGAACAACATACTGCCCACAAGTCCACCGCGTTTGTGGAGCAGGAGTAGCCCTTTGGGCATCTCCTTGAATTGGGTCCACGGCCACAAAACAACTGCTCTCCGTTCCCGTCAGTATAGGGCGATCCATGGATGCAGCACGCTGTTTTACTTGTTGGGGAACATGGTTCTGGAAAAAAAAATCACCCGAAGCTATTATTCTTCATTTTGTTTTGTATAATATAGAGTTATATTTACGAGTTCATACTCTGTAATTGGAACTTTAAGGAGTTTTCGATAGATAGAATTTTTGTTAATTCTGATGCGATATTTAAATTGCCTAAACGTCAGAGTGTTTTTTTGTTTTGCTTGTGAGATAATATGACTTATTTTGATAACATTTGTTCAATTTTGTTTTCATTGAACTCGTTTTATATATAGATACAGAAAAGGACTTAAGTGATAGGTTTTACACATAACACTATAGAGACAACGACTTAAGTGGTAAGTTTGGAAACAACACACTTGGCAGTAAACGACTGAAGTGGTAGGTTTAGAAACACACAATGACGAAAACGAATTCAGTGGTAAGTTTGGAAACAAAACTCAGTACAGAAAACGAACTTGGTGGTAGGTTTGGAAACAAAACTCAGTACAGAAAACGAATTTAGTGGTAGGTTTGGAAACAAAACACTGTACAGAAAACGACTTAAGTGGTAGGTTTTGGAACAACACACTGTACAGAAATCGACGAAAGTGGTAGGTTTGGATACAAAACTCTGTACAGTAAACGACTTTAGTAGTTGGTTATAAACAACACTCTTGACAGAAAACGACTTAAGTGGTAGGCTATAAACAACACACTGTACAGAAAATGACTTCCGTGGTAGGTTATCAACAACACACTGTACAGAAAATGACTTCATTGGTAGGTTATAAACAACACACTGTACAGAAAATGACTTCAGTGGTAGGTTATAAACAACACACTGTACAGAAAACTACTTTAGTGGTAGGTTATAAACAACACAATGTACAGAAAACGACTTTAGTGGTAGGTTATAAACAACACACTGTACAGAAAACGACTTTAGTGGTAGGTTTGGGAACAACACACTGTACAGAAAACGACTTTAGTGGTAGGTTATAAACAACACACTGTACAGAAAACTACTTTAGTGGTAGGTT